TCAACAACATTGACACTTCACTATCAACAACATTGACACTTCTCTATCAACAACATTGACACTTCTCTATCAACATCATTGACACTTCTCTATCAACATCATTGACACTTCACTATCAACATCATTGACACTTCACTATCAACATCATTGACACTTCACTATCAACATCATTGACACTTCTCTATCAACATCATTGACACTTCACTATCAACATCATTGACACTTCTCTATGAACATCATTGACACTTCACTATCAACATCATTGACACTTCACTATCAACATCATTGACACTTCTCTATGAACATCATTGACACTTCACTATCAACATCATTGACACTTCACTATCAACATCATTGACACTTCTCTATCAACATCATTGACACTTCACTATCAACATCATTGACACTTCACTATCAACATCATTGACACTTCACTATCAACATCATTGACACTTCTCTATCAACATCATTGACACTTCTCTATCAACATCATTGACACTTCTCTATCAACATCATTGACACTTCACTATCAACATCATTGACACTTCTCTATCAACATCATTGACACTTCACTATCAACAACATTGACACTTCTCTATCAACATCATTGACACTTCACTATCAACAACATTGACACTTCACTATCAACAACATTGACACTTCACTATCAACAACATTGACACTTCTCTATCAACATCATTGACACTTCTCTATCAACATCATTGACACTTCTCTATCAACATCATTGACACTTCACTATCAACAACATTGACACTTCACTATCAACAACATTGACACTTCACTATCAACAACATTAACACTTCTCTATCAACATCATTGACACTTCACTATCAACATCATTGACACTTCACTATCAACATCATTGACACTTCACTATCAACATCATTGACACTTCACTATCAACATCATTGACACTTCACTATCAACATCATTGACACTTCACTATCAACATCATTGACACTTCTCTATCAACATCATTGACACTTCACTATCAACATCATTGACACTTCTCTATGAACATCATTGACACTTCACTATCAACATCATTGACACTTCACTATCAACATCATTGACACTTCTCTATCAACATCATTGACACTTCACTATCAACATCATTGACACTTCTCTATGAACATCATTGACACTTCACTATCAACATCGTTGACACTTCTCTATCAACATCATTGACACTTCTCTATCAACATCATTGACACTTCTCTATCAACATCATTGACACTTCTCTATGAACATCATTGACACTTCACTATCAACATCATTGACACTTCACTATCAACATCATTGACACTTCACTATCAACATCATTGACACTTCTCTATCAACATCATTGACACTTCTCTATGAACATCATTGACACTTCACTATCAACATCATTGACACTTCTCTATCAACATCATTGACACTTCACTATCAACATCATTGACACTTCTCTATCAACATCATTGACACTTCACTATCAACATCATTGACACTTCTCTATCAACATCATTGACACTTCTCTATCAACATCATTGACACTTCTCTATCAACATCATTGACACTTCTCTATCAACATCATTGACACTTCACTATCAACATCATTGACACTTCACTATCAACAACATTGACACTTCACTATCAACATCATTGACACTTCTCTATCAACATCATTGACACTTCACTATCAACATCATTGACACTTCTCTATCAACAACATTGACACTTCACTATCAACATCATTGACACTTCACTATCAACAACATTGACACTTCACTATCAACATCATTGACACTTCACTATCAACATCATTGACACTTCACTATCAACATCATTGACACTTCTCTATGAACAACATTGACACTTCTCTATGAACAACATTGACACTTCACTATCAACATCATTGACACTTCTCTATGAACAACATTGACACTTCTCTATGAACAACATTGACACTTCACTATCAACAACATTGACACTTCACTATCAACATCATTGACACTTCACTATCAACATCATTGACACTTCACTATCAACAACATTGACACTTCACTATCAACAACATTGACACTTCACTATCAACAACATTGACACTTCACTATGAACAACATTGACACTTCACTATCAACAACATTGACACTTCACTATCAACAACATTGACACTTCACTATCAACAACATTGACACTTCACTATGAACAACATTGACACTTCACTATCAACAACATTGACACTTCTCTATGAACAACATTGACACTTCACTATCAACATCATTGACACTTCTCTATGAACATCATTGACACTTCACTATCAACAACATTGACACTTCTCTATGAACAACATTGACACTTCACTATCAACAACATTGACACTTCTCTATGAACAACATTGACACTTCTCTATGAACAACATTGACACTTCACTATCAACATCATTGACACTTCTCTATGAACATCATTGACACTTCTCTATCAACAACATTGACACTTCACTATCAACATCATTGACACTTCTCTATGAACAACATTGACACTTCACTATCAACATCATTGACACTTCACTATCAACATCATTGACACTTCACTATCAACATCATTGACACTTCTCTATCAACAACATTGACACTTCTCTATGAACAACATTGACACTTCACTATCAACAACATTGACACTTCACTATCAACATCATTGACACTTCACTATCAACATCATTGACACTTCACTATCAACAACATTGACACTTCACTATCAACAACATTGACACTTCTCTATGAACATCATTGACACTTCTCTATCAACAACATTGACACTTCACTATCAACATCATTGACACTTCTCTATGAACAACATTGACACTTCACTATCAACATCATTGACACTTCACTATCAACATCATTGACACTTCACTATCAACAACATTGACACTTCACTATCAACAACATTGACACTTCTCTATGAACATCATTGACACTTCACTATCAACATCATTGACACTTCACTATCAACAACATTGACACTTCACTATCAACATCATTGACACTTCTCTATGAACATCATTGACACTTCTCTATCAACAACATTGACACTTCACTATCAACATCATTGACACTTCTCTATGAACAACATTGACACTTCACTATCAACATCATTGACACTTCACTATCAACATCATTGACACTTCACTATCAACATCATTGACACTTCTCTATCAACAACATTGACACTTCTCTATGAACAACATTGACACTTCACTATCAACAACATTGACACTTCACTATCAACATCATTGACACTTCACTATCAACAACATTGACACTTCACTATCAACATCATTGACACTTCTCTATCAACATCATTGACACTTCACTATCAACAACATTGACACTTCACTATCAACATCATTGACACTTCACTATCAACAACATTGACACTTCACTATCAACATCATTGACACTTCTCTATCAACATCATTGACACTTCACTATCAACATCATTGACACTTCACTATCAACAACATTGACACTTCACTATCAACATCATTGACACTTCTCTATCAACATCATTGACACTTCACTATCAACAACATTGACACTTCACTATCAACAACATTGACACTTCACTATCAACATCATTGACACTTCACTATCAACAACATTGACACTTCACTATCAACATCATTGACACTTCTCTATCAACATCATTGACACTTCACTATCAACATCATTGACACTTCACTATCAACAACATTGACACTTCTCTATCAACATCATTGACACTTCACTATCAACAACATTGACACTTCACTATCAACATCATTGACACTTCTCTATCAACAACATTGACACTTCACTATCAACATCATTGACACTTCTCTATGAACAACATTGACACTTCACTATCAACAACATTGACACTTCTCTATGAACAACATTGACACTTCACTATCAACAACATTGACACTTCACTATCAACAACATTGACACTTCTCTATGAACAACATTGACACTTCACTATCAACATCATTGACACTTCACTATCAACAACATTGACACTTCACTATCAACAACATTGACACTTCACTATCAACAACATTGACACTTCACTATCAACAACATTGACACTTCTCTATGAACAACATTGACACTTCACTATCAACATCATTGACACTTCACTATCAACAACATTGACACTTCACTATCAACAACATTGACACTTCACTATCAACAACATTGACACTTCACTATCAACAACATTGACACTTCACTATCAACATCATTGACACTTCTCTATCAACAACATTGACACTTCACTATCAACATCATTAACACTTCACTATCAACAACATTGACACTTCACTATCAACATCATTGACACTTCTCTATGAACAACATTGACACTTCACTATCAACAACATTGACACTTCACTATCAACAACATTGACACTTCACTATCAACAACATTGACACTTCTCTATGAACAACATTGACACTTCACTATCAACATCATTGACACTTCTCTATGAACATCATTGACACTTCACTATCAACATCATTGACACTTCACTATCAACATCATTGACACTTCTCTATGAACATCATTGACACTTCACTATCAACATCATTGACACTTCTCTATGAACAACATTGACACTTCACTATCAACAACATTGACACTTCACTATCAACAACATTGACACTTCACTATCAACAACATTGACACTTCTCTATCAACAACATTGACACTTCACTATCAACATCATTGACACTTCTCTATGAACATCATTGACACTTCACTATCAACATCATTGACACTTCACTATCAACATCATTGACACTTCTCTATGAACATCATTGACACTTCTCTTTGAACATTAACACTTATCTATGGAGATTAACACTTACAGTATCTATGAACATGAAAATTTGTATATGAACATTAACACTTCTCTATGAACATCATTGACACTTCTCTATGAACGTCAGACTCACTTGGGCGAGTAGTTGCACACGAGGTAGAGCGCCTTCTCCCACGTGTTGCCCCACACGTTCATGTTGTAGCAGAACTGCACCGCGCAGCCAATGCGGTTCGTGGTGGCCCACACCAGCTGCAGGGTTCGGAGAGGGGAGACATGGGGGGGTGGGGTGGGTAGGGGGAGGTAAGGGGGAGGTAAGGGGGAGGTGGGGGGGAGGTGGGGGGGTGGTAGGGGGAGGTAGTGGAGGTGGGGGGGGAGGTGGGGGTAGGTAGGGGGGGAGGTAGGGGGGGGGGGTAGGGGAGGTAGGGGGGGGTGGTAGGGGGAGGTAGTGGAGGTGGGGGGGAGGTGGGGGGGTGGTAGGGGGAGGTAGTGGAGGTGGGGGGGGAGGTGGGGGGGTGGTAGGGGGAGGTAGTGGAGGTGGGGGGGGAGGTGGGGGTAGGTAGGGGGGAGGTAGGGGGGGGGGTAGGGGAGGTAGGGGGGGTGGTAGGGGGAGGTAGTGGAGGTGGGGGGGAGGTAGGTAGGTAGGGGGGTATGGGGATGGGGGGGAGGTAGGTGGGGGGGGGGGTAGGGGGGAGGTGGGGGGAGGTGGGGGGGAGGTAGGGGGGGAAGTGGGGGGGAGGTAGGGGGAGGTGGGGGGAGGTGGGGGGGAGGTGGGGGTAAGTAGGGGGGTAGGTGGGGGGGAGGTGGGGAGGTGGGGGGAGGTGGGTAGGTAGGGGGGCGGTAGAGGGGGCGACACGGGAGTTCAGAGGTCACGCACGGTGTCACCGCAGAGGTCACAAATGGGGTCACCACAGAGGTGGCTCGCGGGTGGGGAGGGTGGGGGGGGGGTAGTTTGTACTGTACCACTCTGGGTGGGGAGGGTGGGGGGGTGGGTAGTTTGTACTGTACCACTCTGGGTGGGGAGGGTGGGGGGGTGGGTAGTTTGTACTGTACCACTCTGGGTGGGGAGGGTGGGGGGGTGGGTAGTTTGTACTGTACCACTCTGGGTGGGGGGAGGGTGGGTAGTTCCAGAATGTACCACGTGGTGTGGGAGGGTGGGGAGGGGTGAGAGTTGGCAGTGCCGGAATGTACCAACTCGGAGCGTGGCAACAGGGGGGGGTAGGTTGTAAGAGCTGGTGGTGGTGGTGGTACAGGTACCTGCGTGTAGTGGGTGCACACGGGCCCTTTGCAGTGCAAGGGACAGGACGGGTCGCAGTCCCCCGATCCTGGATACGAGTACCAGGCCACCTCGTCGTACCAACTCTGCACGTGGTACGTCAGAGGGCGGGGCCTGAACAACAACAACGTCACAATCAACTTCACCATCACTATGCATTTGTCCTATCCCCTCACCCTTGATGCTGCTAATCCTGCATAATGCACGGGCATAAGTAGTACTAATCACATACCTGCATTTCCCCTATCCCCTCCCCTTGATGCTGCTAATCCTGCATAATGCACGGGCATAAGTAGCACTAATCACACACCTGCATTTCCCATATCCCCTTCCCTTGATGCTTCTAATCCTGCATAATGCACGGGCATAGGTAGTCCTAATCACATACCTGCATTTCCCATTTCCCCTCTCTTTGATGCTGATAATCCTGCATAATGCACGGGCATAATTAGTACTAATCACATAGCTGCATTTCCCATATCCCCTCCCTTTGATGCTGCTAATCCTGCATAATGCACGGGCATAATTAGTACTAATCACATAGCTGCATTTCCCATTTCCCCTCTCTTTGATGCTGATAATCCTGCATAATGCACGGGCATAATTAGTACTAATCACATAGCTGCATTTCCCATATCCCCTCCCTTTGATGCTGCTAATCCTGCATAATGCACGGGCATAGGTAGTACTAATCACATACCTGCATTTCCCATATCCCCTCCCTTTGATGCTGCTAATCCTGCATAATGCACGGGCATAGGTAGTCCTAATCACATACCTGCATTTCCCATATCCCCTCTCTTTGATGCTGATAATCCTGCATAATGCACGGGCATAAGTAGTACTAATCACACACCTGCATTTCCCATATCCCCTCCCTTTGATGCTGCTAATCCTGCATAATGCACGGGCATAGGTAGTACTAATCACATACCTGCATTTCCCATATCCCCTCCCTTTGATGCTGCTAATCCTGCATAATGCACGGGCATAAGTAGCACTAATCACACACCTGCATTTCCCATATCCCCTCCCTTTGATGCTGATAATCCTGCATAATGCACGGGCATAAGTAGTACTAATCCCATATCTGCATTTCCCATATCCCCTCCCTTTGATGCTGATAATCCTGCATAATGCACGGGCATAAGTAGTACTAATCCCATATCTGCATTTCCCATGCATATGCTGAATTCCTCTTGATATGCAAATTCTTTTGTCAAGGCGCCCTTTCCCCCCCTTCCAACCCAGCTTAAATATACGCTCCAAGCACGTGTGCTGTTTCATTCAGACGCTGTCGCCTCGACAGACCTGGTTTTCACCTGAGGACGGCTGTTTGCGTTGTGGCCGAAACGTCGTGAGAATTATTTTATTATGTTTTATTTTTATTAGTTTATTACTTCCCTTCCACGTCACTTTACCGAAAGAACCAAGAAGACTATGAGACATCTCTTTTACCAATGGCAGTATACTAAATACACTCTCCAATAAGCTGAGCTACTAACAGTAAGTCATACATTATAATTCTACGTCGCAAAAAATATAATATACCTCCAGCTAAACTATGTTCTATTGTTATTATTTTATTATTTCCCTTCTACGTGACTTTACCGAAAGAACCAAGAAGATGAATCCCTGCAGTCACGAAAGCTTTAAATCGAAATCTCAACACCTGTTTTGTTGCCAAAACAAAGAGGAAAACATATTCTCATATTTTGGCAAAGAAGGTCCCATTAAATGTTTGTCTGTTGAACATATTTTGCCCCATATGTAGCCAACCGTGTTAATCGGAGGTGTGGGGGAACGACAACAAACTATGGGTCTCTGCGTGAGTCTATATGTCTCTGTGTGAGTCTGTGGGTCTCTGTGTGAGTCTATGGGTCTCTGTGTGAGTCTGTGGGTCTCTGTGATGAGTCTATGAGTCTATGCGTGAATCTATGGGTCTGTGTGAGTCTATGGGTCTCTGTGTGAGTCTATGTGTCTCTGTGTGAGTCTATGGATCTCTATGTGCGTCTATGGGTCTCTGTGTGAGTCTATGTGTCTCTGTGTAAGTCATTGGGTCTGTGTGATTCTATGGGTCTCTGTGTGAGTCTATGGGTCTCTGTGTAAGTCATTGGGTCTGTGTGAGTCTATGGGTCTCTGTGTGAGTCTATGGGTCTCTGTGTAAGTCATTGGGTCTGTGTGAGTCTATGGGTCTTTGTGTGAGTCTATGGGTCTCTGTGTAAGTCATTGGGTCTGTGTGAGTCTATGGGTCTCTGTGTGAGTCTATGGGTCTCTGTGTGAGTCATTGGGTCTGTGTGATTCTATGGGTCTCTGTGTGAGTCTATGGGTCTCTGTGTGAGTCTATGGGTCTCTGTGTGAGTCTATGGGTATATGTGGGAGTCTATGGGTCTCTGTGTGAGTCTATGGGTCTTTGTGTGAGTCTACAGGTCTCTGTGTGAGTCTATGGGTCTCTGTATGAGTCTATGGGTCTCTATGTGAGTCTATAGGTCTCTGTGTAAGTCATTGGGTCTGTGTGAGTCTATGGGTCTCTATGTGAGTCTATAGGTCTCTGTGTAAGTCATTGGGTCTGTGTGAGTCTATGGGTCTCTGTGTGAGGCTATGGGTCTCTATGTGAGTCTATAGGTGAGTCTATGGGTCTCTGTGTGAGTCTAAGTATGTATGTTTGAAGATCTTTCACATCTTTTGCATCTGGTACAGATACAATGGGGAAGGGGGTTTGGGGTGAGGGGGGGCTGGTAAGATGCCTAGGTGTGGTCAAGGGATGGCTCCTTATTTGTCAAACCATGTAATGTACGCTGATGGTCTGGTAATTGCTGCTCACGTTGAGAAAGAATTGGAGACTGCCAAACATGAATCGTGTCGCTTACCATGTGCCCCACCAAAACAAAAATGACCTTTTTGGGTTTTCTGCAGCATTGGACATTCACTTCCCCTCGACTCCCCTAATCAGTTTAAATACATTATATTTGTATCAGCTGCGAAACACTCCGTGGAAGCTACCTGTTGCTTCATTCGAAGCTCCGGGTCTTCATGGCCACGGTCATGCCCCTCCCTTTTCTATGCTTGTGAAACATGACCCCTGAACCCCTCTTGAAGGAACATCTGCGCCGGTTTCAAACATTCAGACTCGCCTGTCTACGATCCACCCTGGGTCTATGGGTCTCTGTGTGAGTCTATGGGTCTCTGTGTGAGTCTATGGGTCTCTGTGTGAGTCTATGGGTCTCTGTGTGAGTCTATGGGTCACTGTGTGAGTCTATGGGTCTCTGTGTGAGTCTATGGGTATCTGTGTGAGTCTATGGGTCTCTGTGTGAGTCTATGGGTATCTGTGTGAGTCTATGGGTCTCTGTGTGAGTCTATGGGTATCTGTGTGAGTCTATGGGTCTCTGTGTGAGTCTATGGGTATCTGTGTGAGTCTATGGGTCTCTGTGTGAGTCTATGGGTCTCTGTGTGAGTCTATGGGTCCCTGTGTGAGTCTATGGGTCTCTGTGTGAGTCTACGGGTCTCTGTGTGAGTCTACGGGTCTCTGTGTTAATCTATGGGTCTCGGTGTGAGTATATGGGTCTCTGTGTGAGTCTATGGGTCTCTGTGTGAGTCTATGGGTATCTGTGTGAGTCTATGTGTCTCTGTGTGAGTGTATGTGTCTCTGTGTGAGTCTACGGGTCTCTGTGTTAGTCTATGGGTCTCTGTGTGAGTCTATGGGTCTCTGTGTGAGTCTATGGGTCTCTGTGTGAGTCTATGGGTGTCTGTGTGAGTCTATGTGTCTCTGTGTGAGTCTATGTGTCTCTGTGTGAGTGTATGTGTCTCTGTGCGAGTCTACGGGTCTCTGTGTAAGTCACTGGGTCTGTGTGAGTCTATGGGTCTCTGTGTGAGTCTATCTAAGTATGTATGTATGTCTGTTGAACATATTTCACATCTTTCTGGGTTTACCCAGGGTGGATCGTGCGAGGAGCTCACAGATCCTTGAAAGATCTGGACATAGTCCCCATCACCCGTGAGCTCCTCAGGCAAGCGACGAGGCTGCGTTAGCTGGGTCACGTATCCCCCCGCATGCCCAGCCAACTTATGTTTGGCCGGATAGAGAGGGCTAAACGGGCACGGCATGGCCTAGAGAGGAGATGGAGCTGATGCAATACGGGAGTGGACTTGCCGATGACCCGCTTGCCAGCAGTGCGTGCATGTGGGTCCTCCCGGCGTGTCTCACCTGCCCCAGTAGACGCCCAGGTTTTGTCCGACGTAATCCATGAGGCGACTTGGGCCGTGCTCCCAGACGCACTGACCAGCCCAATCGGCAGCCATCTTGGCCAATCCCTCATCCCAAACCTAACCCACGGGGACAGACACACAGAGGGACAGAGAGAGATGCTCGGATTTCAATGAGAGCAATTGTAAATACTAACCTGTGCCTGGCCTACACTTTCCATGCATGCCCAGTGGACCCTGGAATCTGCAGCAATTTCATCTACCCCTATGCGCGATGTGGGAAAAGCAGGAAACTAAAAACAGAACCAGCAGGGCAATGGAGCAAACTAAAGAGAAAAGGCCACTTCAAAGATATGGGGTTGATAATTGGTTTTTTACCCTTCTATCTGGCAACAAAGCTGACACCCTTTTTACAAGGAGTCATGTTTGCATAGACCACAATACCTGCAGTCATAATGCAAACAAAACACATTACTCTGATAATGTATGCACTGTCCTTGAAGTGGATTGGTCCACACCCGAGACAGCTTTCCTTAGAGCCTAGTCTCACATGGGTTTGATCAGATGACGCCAAAAGGCGCACAACTCAAAGACAATGCACCATCAGAGTATGAGAGCTCGGGGTAAGCATTTACACCATTGGAACCTCATTTGCCAGTAAAAAATATGATAATTGTTTTTTTACCCTTCTATCTGGCAACAAAACTGACACCCTTTTTACAAGGAGTCATGTTTGCATAGACCACAATACCTGCAGTCATAATGCAAACAAAACACATTACTCTGATAATGTATGCACTGTCATTGAAGTTCATTGGTCCACACCCGAGACAGCTTTCCTTAGAGCCTAGTCTAACATGGTGTTGGACCAGATGACGCCAAAAAGGGTGTCAGTTTTGTTGCCAGATAGAAGGGTAAAAAAACAATTACCATATTTTTTACTGGCAAATGAGGTTCCAATGGTAAATATGGGGTTGTCAAAGCTGACTTTTAAATATATCTACAGACTCCAATCGTCTGATTTCAAGTGGCAAGGCATTCCATGATCACCAAAAGAGCGCAGCCTTATAGACCTGGGAGCGCTGAGCAGTTAGAGATCAGAAGACATACCTGTCAACCCATACGGATTATCTAGGTCCCATTCACCATCCAGTCCTAGGGTATTGTCTCAGGACCGGGGCCCGTTAACCACCCAGTCGCAGGACATTTCGTCCCAGAGGGCAGCACCAGCATGAGCTGTAATGCTGCCCTGGTGGCAGACGAGGTGACAGGATACGGGATGGGAGCAGGGCATAGGTCGCAACCGGGTACCCGATACCCGTACCCTACCCGATACCCGGCTACCCAGCCGGGTACGGGTACCCGTTTGTGACCCTGGTGCGGCCGGGTACGGGTAGCCGGGTAGGTCGTGAGTCACTGGTGAGTCGCCGTTTGTCACTCATTTCCCAACGTCTTGTCTCTTCTCACAATTCAAGTTCCTAGAATCAACCCACCCGCGCCTGCAACGTGGCTTCATCCCAGAGGTCGCAATCAGGTACCCGTACCCGTACTCTACCCATACCCGGCCGGGTACGGGTAGGGTATGGGTACGGCCGGGTACGGGTACCCGTTTGCGGCCCTGCTGTGGCCGGGTACGGGTACGGGTAAGGAATCAAAACCCGTGTGCGACCTCTGCTGAGCGCTATTGCCGCGCGCTGAGATGGCATTCGCAGGGTCTGCTGATCTATCGCACTTGCTGTACGGCGTCCGTGCCTCCAGCGTGATGAACATTTTGTCCTCCTTCCGCCGCACCTCTGATTAGCGCGGTTGGCTAGGTACGGTGCGAAAGAGATTCAACATACGTGCACATGTAGACTCACACAGAGACCCGTAGACTCACGCAGAGAATCATAGACTCGTACAGAGACCTGTAGACTCATACAGAGACCTGGAGACTTACACAGAGACCCATAGACTCACACAGAGACCCGTAGACTCACACAGAGACCCACAGACTCACAGAGACCTATAGACTCACACAGAGACCCATATAATCATACAGAGACCCGTAGACTCACACAGAGACCCATAGACTCACACAGAGACCCATAGACTCACGCAGAGACCCATAGACTCACACAGAGACCCACAGACTCACAGAGACCCATAGACTCACACAGAGACCTATATAATCATACAGAGACCCGTAGACTCACACAGAGACCCATAGACTCACACAGAGACCCATAGACTCACGCAGACTGAGTTGCGGTTAAAACCAGGTTCTCATGTGCAATGGCCATCAGAGTGCGATGAACATCAATGGACTTGGAAGATCATAGCCATTCAAGTGGTGCTAGTGTAATGGGTTTCGGAGACACTTGTAGAGGTAACTTCTTTATTACAATACAACACTCCAACAGTCCTGATACTCTGTTACAGCCTAGGTACACAGCCTAGGTACACAGCCTAGATACACAGCCTAGGTAGACAGCCTAGGTACACAGCCTAGGTACACAGCCTAGGTACACAGCCTATATACACAGCCTAGGTACACAGCCTAGGTACACAGCCTAGATACACAGCCTAGCGACACAGCCTAGGTACACAGCCTAGGTACACAGCCTAGATACAAAGCCTAGATACACAGCCTAGGTACACAGCCTAGGTACACAGCCGAGGTACACAGCCTAGGTACACAGCCTAGGTACACAGCCTAGGTACACAGCCGAGGTACACAGCCTAGGTACACAGCCTAGGCACACAGCCTAGGTACACAGCCTAGATACACAGCCTAGGTACACAGCCTAGGTACACAGCCTAGGTACACAGCCTAGGTACACAGCCTAGGTACACAGCCGAGGTACACAGCCTAGGTAGACAGCCTAGGTACACAGCCTAGGTACACAGCCTAGGTACACAGCCTATATACACAGCCTAGGTACACAGCCTAGGTACACAGCCTAGGTACACAGCCTATGTACACAGCCTAGGTACACAGACTAGGTACACAGCCTATATACACAGCCTAGGTACACAGCCTAGGTACACAGCCTAGATACACAGCCTAGCGACACAGCCTAGGTACACAGCCTAGGTACACAGCCTAGATACACTACTCTGGCTACGCTCTGGGGTCCTCCGGCTACAACTACCCTAGGGGAGGCTACCTGCCCCGACCCAGCCATGGTGCGGGTCTGGACTCTGGCTTCCTCGGAACTCGCCCTCACAAGGACGTAGAGCCGGGAGTCCCAGAGTCCCACCACTGGCCCGCACAGCGTCCCGGCCCTTACGAGGACAAGCGGGACGAGGGGGTCCAGGGTCCTACTGTGGCGGGTCTTGGGTCTTGAGCTGTGACTGGCCCCGATCGGCCAGGGAGCTGCCCTTTTATGCCTCGTCCCCAACGAGGGGTGGGGTTGTGTGCGCCCCCAGGTATCCCACAGAGCACACACAGCCCCCCTGTTGGTGGCGCCAAGGGGCTTAAGTGTCTGGGGTGCCTGGGATCCCAGCGCCTGGTGCCAAGGGGCTTAAGTGTCTGGGGTGCCTGGAATCCTAGCGCCTGGCGCCAAGGGGCTTAAGTGTCTGGGGTGCCTGGGATCCCAGCGCCTGGTGCCAAGGGGCTTAAGTGTCTGGGGTGCCTGGGATCCTAGCGCCTGGCGCCAAGGGGCTTAAGTGTCTGGGGTGCCTGGGATCCTAGCGCCTAGCGCCAAGGGGCTTAAGTGTCTGGGGTTCCTGGGATCCTAGCGCCTGGCGCCAAGGGGCTTATTTGCCTAGGATCCCAGAGCCCCCAGTAGCCCCTCCCCTCTTATGTCACTACACTAGCTCAACGTCTCTGACACAGCCATTACGAACCTCCTGAGAGAGACAAAGACAAAGATCCCCCGCATAGCCTGCGCAGACTGTTGGGGCAAGTGCTGTTGGTTAGCACCGATGAAGGCCGGCACGGCACACGAAGTGGGTGGGTGGCCAGCACCACGTCCGGCCGCCTTTGTTTCCCCAGTGGCGATGTTTACACACCACATCAGGTACTCATTTGACGCTGAGTCGACCTAGGGGGAGGCCCATGACCGGTTCAGAGAATCGTCACCGGTGTTGCCGTGAGCGGGAATCGAACTCGGGTCGCCAGGTTCGTAGCGCTACCCGCTACACCACCATGAACACACAGACCCATGGCCACACCCAGCAAGTGAGAACACTGCTTTTAGTGTCTCTGACACGGTCACTATGGACCTCTTGACAGAGAGAGAGAGACACACACAGAGTGACACACACACAGAGTGACACACACACAGAGTGACACACACACAGAGTGACACACACACAGACCCATGGCCACACCCAGCAAGTGAGAAACACTGCTTTTAGTGTCTCTGACACGGTCACTATGGACCTCTTGACAGAGAGAGAGACACACACAGAGTGACACACACACACACAGTGACACACACACACAGAGTGACACACACACAGACCCATGGGGCACACCCAGCAAGTGAGAAACACTGATGTTAGTGTCTATGACAAGGCCACTATGAGCCTCTTGACACAGAGAGAGACACACACAGAGTGTGACACACACACGCAGAGTGACACACACACACACAGAGTGACACACAGTGTCATGGGGCCACACCCAGCAAGTGAGACACACTGATGTTAGTGTCTATGACAAGGCCACTATGAGCCTCTTGACACAGAGAGAGAGACACACAGAGAGAGACACACACAGAGAGTGACACACACAGAGAGAGAGAGACACACAGAGTGACACACACAGAGTGACACACACAGAGTGACACACACACAGAGTGACACACACAGAGAGTGACACACACAGAGAGTGACACACACACACAGAGAGTGACACACACAGAGAGTGACACACACACACAGACCCATGGGGCACACCCAGCAAGTGAGAAACACTGATGTTAGTGTCTATGACAAGGCCACTATGAGCCTCTTGACACAGAGAGAGAAACACACACAGAGTGACACACACACACAGAGTCATGGGGCACACCCAGCAAGTGAGAAACACTGATGTTAGTGTCTATGACAAGGCCACTATGAGCCTCTTGACACAGAGAGAGAAACACACACAGAGAGACACACACACAGAGCCATGGGGCACACCCAGC